AATCCCTCGCCCGAAATTTTCCATGTAATAAATAGCCGTTAAATGGTGGTAAGTAAGAATATGTCTGTCCTATCGATTTATCCTTCTATATTTAGAAATACTTTTCAAATTTAAAAAATGTATTGGATATAAAATCACAATCTTTAAAGTTCAAATGTGTCAAACTTATAGTTTGACCTATAAGATAAAAGCATTTGTTTGAACATAATTAAATTATTACATAAGTAAACTTTCCTTCAAAATTTTACCCTTCAATAATGCTAAAACAATAATAAATAGGTAGATAATTTAACTCAATCACAGAAATACATTTACTTCATTAAAGCGATTTGATAATTTGTACTTCTCCATCTTGAGTCGTAGGTTTAAATTCTCATTTCTTATATCTTTTTTTAAAAAAAAGTACCTACTTTCATCTTTGCTGTACTATTTAACCAATCTAATATCTAATTGTTTTAATACTCGCATCTTGAACACATTACTCGAAACTACATCGTTAATTTGTTGAAGTAGAAAGAAAGGTAAAAGATTTTGAATAAGTCTAAAATAGATATTTTGAAAATTTAGAAATTAATTAATTTATAAATTCAAACCCCAAAATGGGATTTCAAAACTCATTCATGCATACTTTGAATTAGGTTAATTTTTAGCTTTAGTCGTTATTAGTGCAGGCTGATGTGATTGTGATTGTGATATTCCAATCCAACCATTAATTCATGTATAACTATTTCATCCAAATTTTTATCAGAACAAAGACTTTAAATACTGACGTAGATGATTGGAATGTTAAACCAAAAGAACAATCTAATGATTGACAGCTTGCATCAGTGTTTAAGCTTGTTCCCTGGAGTTTGATCCCCAAGAAAGAGGGAAATGGCTGTGATTCAATATGAAAAGGCCAGCACTCACTCTTTAGAAAATATCGAGATGCATGTAATAATCAAGGTTTTTATTCCAGAGTCAGATTGGGGAGACAACTCCTTCAAGGCTTTGACTTACATTCCGAGGAAGACTTTCCCAGCAACAGAAGAAAAGATTGCGAGGTAGATGTCTCAATTTTATAGAAATATACATAAAAAAATCGATATCACTTTAAAATTTAACACATAAATATTTTACCCTTTTTAAATAAATATTAGTTATGTTTTGTTGATAGTTTCTAATACTTGGTTGCAAAAGTCGATTTATGTTTATGTCAATGAAGAATTTATTGACAAATGAAAATATAGTTCGAGCAACGAAAATTTAATACTCTGGAATTTGTCCATCAACGTTGGATAGACATAATCTACCATACAGGGGAGTAATTAAGATTAGTTTAGAAATTAAAGAAAAAAAAAGGTAAAATAACTGTTGATAAAAGTAAAATTTTAGGAGTTATTGTGATGTAACTTTAGTCCTTTATTATTAAACTAAATTGAAATAGATGCTCCATTGGATTTTTCTGTCAAAGTGAAGCAATTTGATTACATTTTTTACCATTAAAATCTTGGTTCACATTGTGGATTCGAAAGGTAATTAAATATTTTAAATTTCAATCATCACAAGAAAACCATAGCACTCTTTTCAAAAGTAGAAAAATGAATTAATAATTCAGAGAATCAACAACGAAATATTCTTTTTCTTTTTTTTTTTAATTAAAACATCTTCTATGATTCTTTCAAAGATAATTGTTGGGGATGACCACGAACGGCCGACCTGAGTGTAGTGGGATCAGAGGAGCCGACTTGTCAGGACGGCGGCGACAACTTAAACAAATTGGGAGTCCGCCAGAACAGGGATGGATTGGTCACTGTCGAGGACCAACGATCGCTCGACGGATCCCATCCGAATAGTGAAATACATCGGATGTACATCTACCACTATAAATACGCCACTCCTCCGGAGGTCCAAGTATGAAAAATATGTCTGATGTTTACCCATTGAGCTCGGCTTGAATACTAACTTGGGCGTCGGAGTGATTACTTCCTTGTAGATACCTCGAAAAATCGTCTAAGTGCAATCGGCCGACCTCGGAAGTCGTCTCCCGTACATCGGCTAAATCTTGCATCAACAATAATRATTCATGTTATGGGAGATAAAAGAAGAATAGACCAAGCGACGGGGACCGAAGGAAACCTGAGAAAAAAAGCACGAACTAGGAAAGGGGGGCCGGCACCAACGACTTGGGCCGCCCCCTGGCCGACCGATGGTCGGCACCRAGCAGTTCTCTGTCGGGACGAGAACTGTAGCGGTTCATCCCGACTRTTTCGCAGTCCAACTCGAAATATCCCGCMTTGATTCTCGATTTGACCTAAAGCCCACRACGAACGAGCGGGCCCGAATATTGAGATGTAYGAGGATTCGACTGGGGTAAACCCAAGGGATGAGAACTCGACTTGTATAAATGGAAGGGGAGCCAAACCCTGGAGATAAGCAAAAACACCCTATTCCCTACACTCTAACTTCATTATCCATCTACTTTCCTTGCTAACTTAGGCATCGGAGCTCGTGTGACTGGAATCACACCGATAGGTTTGATTGGTTTTGCAGATTCTCTATTTCCTGATTATCAAGTTTGGTGCGAATTTGGAAAAGAACTGAGGGAGCATAATTSACGCATCAACAATTCACACTCATTCCACAATCAAATTATGAATTTTTGGAACTCATATGAACTTTTTTTTTAACAAAAATTCTCAACTAATTACTCAACCAACGATCTGGTTAGAAGAGAGAGAAAAAAAAAGGTATACAGCTATTTTAAAATGAGTTAATTTTCTAATTCATATATATAAAGATAGTCTTGTACATATTATTTTAGAAAATTTTCTTATTTTACTTTTTTGGATCTATGATACTCTTTGGTTATTTATTTTTTATTATTATTTTTTAGTACAATGCTCTTTGGTATACTTGTTGTCTAATTTTGAAACCAAAGAAAAAAAAAAACAATGTAATTATTTAGCATGTGTTATGGATTGGATATAGYGTAGGAACATATAAAATCCAAATGTTTATTTTAAAAATTCAAATTATTTTTATCATTTAGAATTATGTCAGTTTATTCCATGATCTGTCACATGCTTGAGGACAATAATTTCCTGAATGGTCTTGTATGCTATCATTTTGTCCATTATCTTTATAATTATTTACTTCTTTTTCCGCATCAATTGAATCTAGCTATTTTAGTCTTGGTACTTTTTTAAATACAATATCATAATTATTGAGGTTGAAATTTGAATCTAATCTCAACGATTAGGCTAATACTTGAGTTTACATGTAACATTCTTTTTAATATTAATTATTTTCTTTAATCTAAAAATAAATAAATAGAAAGGAGTGCAACACGTAGACTTGTCAATGAGTCACCTTAATTTATTACTACACTCTCGTCCAATTATAGTTGTAGAATTCGAGATTCGATGATGCACGTGTTTGTATTATTTTGTTAAAATAACTAACATTATAGATTATTAATAAAAGAAGCACAAAACAAATTTTTTTTTAGAAAGAAAAGATCCCTTAAACACCATAATCCGTCTTGGTTCATAGTGAGTTAAATTATTTGGAGGAAATATTTTTGGTACAAAATTTCCAAATGGTGGCATTGGATGATGATAGTAAAAATAAATCACCAATTTTTAATTTTTAGATGCTTTGAAGCATATGGTTTTTATTCCAATTAATGTCATTATTATATAGTCAATTTTTTGCATCATATCTCAATAATTATATATTTTCTAGAGTCTTCAAAAAAGTTATATAATCTTATTTTACTAAATTTAGGTTAAGGTTTTAAATTATACCTTTAATCTTGGTATTTTAAATGTTTATTTATTTTAAACATTTAAAACGTTTATTTGGTTCTCGTATTTTTTTTTTCATTTTTTGTCTATTGTTAGCCCCAAT